TGTTTGTGTGTAAAAGTGTGTGTACAAGTGCATCTGTGTAAAAGTGTTGTGTGTAAAACCTTCTGTGTGTAAAAATCTTTGTGTGTAAACGGGTTTGTGTGTACGAGTGTTTCTGTGTAAAGATGTTTGTGTGTAAAAGTGATTGTATGTAAAATTGCATCTGTTTAAACGTGTTTGTGTGTAAAAGCTTCTGTGTGTAAAAGTGTTTGTGTGTAAACGTGTTTGTGTGTCGGAGTGTTTCGGTGGAAAGAAGTTTGTGTGTAAAAGTGTTTGTGTGTACAAGTGCATCTGTGTAAAAGTGTTTGTGTGTAAAAGTGTTTCTGCGTAAAAGTGTTTGTATGTAAAACCGTCTGTGTGTAAAAGTGTTTGTGTGTAGAAGCTTCTGTGTGTAAAAGCGTTTGCGTGTAAAAGCGTCTGTGTGTAAAAGTGTTTGTGTGTAAAAGTGTTTGTGTGTAAAAGTGCCTGTGTGTAAAAGCGTCTATGTGTAAAAGCTTCTGTGTGTACAAACGTTTGTGTGTAAAAGCAGCTCCTGTGTGTAAAAGGGTCTGTGTGTAAAAGTGTCTGTGTGTAAACGTGTTTGTGTGTAAAAGTGTCTGTGTAAAAGCGTCTGTGTGTAAAAGCTTCTGTATGTAAAAGCTTCTGTATGTAAAAGCTTCTGTGGGTAAAAGCTTTGTGTGTAAAAGCGTCTGTGTAAAAGCTTCTGTATGTAAAAGCTTCTGTGTGTAAAAGCTTTTGTGTGTAAAAGCGTCTGTGTGTAAAAGTGTTTGCGATGCAAACTATTGTCTTGCACTTCTCACTATTTTGTCTTGATACTCCTCTTCTCGACTGCCTATAACACATCTTTCATATATTGTTTCTAAAATTGTGTCTCCATACTAACAAGAGAAGACCCTGCTCCTCTACGCTCTCGGGCCATCCGTCGTCTAGTTCTGAGGTTCCAAGGAACACGGAATTTCGCAATTTCTTTTGCTCAACTCTGTTTCGCGCCTCCAATTTCACCAGTCCCATACTCCGGAGCTCTTCACGGAGTGCCTGAGCCAAACGGAGTTGGCAACAGGGTCACAAGTCGGACACGGTAACATGGCGCCTGGATCTGGGCAGCTGCCTCACTGCGGCAAATCTCCAACTCTTTTCGAAGCAAGGCCAACTCAAGCGCATGCCTCCCAAGGTGGACCCAGTCTCTACACCAAACTCATCAACGGTTGAAAACGGTTCATTTCTGTCACGGTTGAAGAACTGAACAAGTTCGGTACTTTGCACCAACTGTGATGAAATCAACAACTTCAAGTTGCCCAGTCTTTTCGCCTCTCCGCTTGTGCAGATTGCACATGGAGGTTCCGCAAAGCCTGTCCGGGTTTACTGGACTCTGCTGGCCCTGCCGGCAGACTGAAAACCTTCGAATTTCAAGTGCTCTGCCATTGACCAATTTCCCGCCATGCCCGAGGCCCGAGATCCGACACCAACAAGTCGACAAGTAAAAGAAAAATACGGAAAACTGATGAAAACTGGTTCCGGCGTTTTGATGGGTGCAGCCAGTTGCAGACAGTTGCAGCTTTGCAGTTCCAGCCTTAGCCCCCTTAAGGTCCAAGCCTTTGCCACCCTGAGTTCCAACTGCCGATGCAATGCCGGTCAAGGCGAATGACAAACGTGTGGGAAAACACCCGGGGCTCAGATTGGAAAGTGACATCACTGGCATCACTGGCATCACTGGCATTCAAAATCTGTGAAGCTTCACAAGGCACAAGAGGCCAATTTTGAGGCTTCCACCAACCATGCCTTGCTTTTGCAAGACTTCCTGACCTGGGGAAGCAGGAAATGCACAACATTCACAACAGTGCACTTGCAACCAATGTATATTTCAGTTCAAACTCTGGCACCACTCCACAACACAACCTCCAGGGGCCGGGCTTGGTGATGCATGGCGGTGTCCAAGTGCGCTGTACAAGATGCACAAGAATTGCAATAGAAAATGTAGATTCATGTTGCATTAGGGGTGGTCGCTTGGTCAGCATATGTCAGCATAAGCAGGAACCATAGAGGGAGCGGTCACCGCTCTGGAATCCTAAGATCAGACAGCGCTATGCGATTTTTGGTGTAAACCACTTCAGCTCGACTTGAAAGTTCTTGAGCCACAGAATGACGAACACCCAACCAAGGCAGCATGTCAGGTTAAAACTTTCAGGGCTTAAGAAAGGAAAAACGCGCAAGAAATCGACTTGTTCGGCCCATAACGGACTGGTCGAAGGAAGTTTGGAAGTCAAACTTCCGACAATATGGAGAGATGAAAAAGCAGTCAGCAGGGAGAAGAGTCAGAAGAGAAAAAATCAGAAGAAAGAAGATGCAGGTGCGCGAAAAGGTAGGAAAGTCGCGAAACACTGTGTTTTTTCGTGGTTTTGTGGCTCCGGAGGGTTGAAAAGTAGGCTCGCTAAAGCGGCGGGTGCGGAGACATCTGGGGAGATGAGAGATGAAAAGTTGCACGCCGTTGTGGCGCGAAGCACATTTGGAAGTAAAATGTGTTAAAAACTGAGGGGTTCGGACCACTTTTGGAAGTTGAGATGTTGAAAAAGTGCACACCGTTGTGGCGCGAAGCACATTTCCAAGTCAAAATGTACAAAACACACCAGCATCGGACCACTTTTGGAAGTTGAGATGTCGAAAAAAGTGCACGCCGTTGTGGCGCGAAGCACATTTCGAAGTCAAAATGTACAAAACACACCATTCTCGGACCACTTTTGGAAGTTGAGATGTTTAAAAAGTGCACGCCGTTGCGGCGCGAAGCACATTTCCAAGTCAAAACGTACAAAAAACACCAGGGATTCGACCACTTTTGGAAGTTGAGATGTCGAAAAAGTGCACGCCGTTGTGGCGCGAAGCACATGTCGAAGTCAAAATGTACAAAACACACCATTCTCGGACCACTTTTGGAAGTTGAGATGTCGAAAAAGTGCACGCCGTTGTGGCGCGAAGCACATTTCGAAGTCAAAATGTCAAAACACCACGGGTTTGGACCACTTTTGGAGGTTCAGATGTCGCTTCGCTTCACTACACTACACATTACACTACACTACACTCCGCTACACTACACTCCACTACACTACACTACAAAACACAACACTACAACTACACAACTACACTCCACTACACTCTACTACACTAAATTACACTACACTAAATTACACTACACTACACTACATTACACTACACTACACTCCACTACACTACACTACATTACACTACACTGCACTACCTTCCACTACACTTCCACTACACTTCACTACATTACACTTCACTACATTACACTACACTCCACTACACTCCAACTACAACTACAACTACACAACTACACTCCACTACAATACACTCCACTACACTAAATTACACTACACTACACTACATTACACTACACCACGCTCCACTGCACTACATTACACTACACTACCTTCCACTACACTTCACTACATTACACTACACTACACTCCACTACACTACAACTACAACTACACAACTACACTCCACTACAATACACTCCACTCCACTACACTACACCAAATTACACTACATTACACTACACTACGCTCCACTACACTACATTACACTACACTACCTTCCACTACACTTTACTACATTACACTACACTGGTTACACTACACTCCACTACACTACAACAACAGCTACAACTACACAACTACACTCCACTACAATACACTCCACTACACTCCATCCACTACACTAAATTACACTACATTACACTACACTACGCTCCACTACACTACATTACACTACACTACCTTCCACTACACTTTACTACATTACACTACACTGGTTACACTACACTCCACTACACTTCAACTACAACTACGACTACACAATTACACTCCACTACACTCCACTACACAAAATTACACTACACTACACTACATTACACTACACTACACTACATTCCACTACACTCCACTACACTACACTACACTACATTACACTACACTACTTTACACTGAATGACACTGCACCACAGATAGACAGGTAGACACATAGACAGACAGATAGATAGATAGGTAGGTAGATAGATAGATAGATAGGATAGATAGATAGGATAGATAGGATAGATAGGAAAGATAGGATAGATAGGATAGATAGGATAGATAGGATAGATAGGATAGATAGGATAGATAGGATAGATAGGAGAGATAGGAGAGATAGGAGAGATAGGATAGATAGGATAGATAGGATAGATAGGATAGATAGGATAGATAGGATAGATAGGATAGATAGGATAGATAGGATAGATAGGCTAGATAGGCTAGATAGGCTAGATAGGCTAGATAGGATAGATAGGATAGATAGGATAGATAGGATAGATAGGATAGATAGGATAGATAGGATAGATAGGATAGATAGGATAGATAGGGTAGATAGGATAGATAGGATAGATAGGGTAGATAGGATAGATAGGATAGATAGGATAGATAGGATAGATAGGATAGATAGGATAGATAGGATAGATAGGATAGATAAGATAGATAGATAGATAGATAGACAGATAGACAGATAGATAGATAGATAGGTAGATAGATAGATAGATAGAAAGATAGATAGATAGATAGGTAGATAGATAGATACATAGAAGATAGGCTGGTAGGTAAGTAGATAGTCAGAGAAAGAGAGAGCAAGAGAGGAGACCTCAAGCACCTTTCGGTCCATCAGTGGATTTGCTCTGCCATCCCTGATTCACAACAGCCAATCTCTCCTATAGGTTCCTATTTTTGAAACTTCCGCCACCGCCTTGTGCGGTACTACTGGTACTGATAATCATCCATGTTGCCAAACAAACCACTTGCAACAGCAAGATCTTCAAACAAAAACGTTGCAATGGACTCTATATTCAAGAACGGCCTCATACGCACGCATGAATTGAGATCTTATTTGAGGCCTTACGATGCAAGGCGCAGATTATCTTCATGCAGGCGACATAGTCACAAGAATCTCAAGCAAAATGCATTCTGTGAGTTGGGTTCACGCTTCAGCTGAGCGAAAAGAAACGCATGCCGCATGCCAGTTAAATCTGTGTATCCATGTATCCTGCTAAATCTATGTTGCCCTTTCCCTCAGGCACTCCATGTCATTGTCTGCACAAAAAAAGAAGAAAGACTTATACCGTGTTCTACAGTTGGTAAGGTTGACAGCTAGAGCGGAGATTCGCAGCAGCCATCTTTTGCAGGGAAATCTACAGTGAATCTACAGCACAGTTGCAAACCACTCCTTGCTCCTCATCTCCATCTTACCATATCTTACAGCTCTTACCCAACCCCCTGGTCAAACTCTCCATTTTTCCTCGTCGCCGTCTCAACTCGTTTACTCAGTTTACTCGTTTCGTCGTGCGGGATGCCGCGCCGTCTATGCCAACTGCAGACCCAACTTCTTCGCCTTTTCGGCTTGGATGGCGCGCTCACGGCGCTGGGTCACGTGCTGCGACTTGATGCCCATGATGCCTGCGCCGGGACCGGGGAGGAGCCGAAGAGCCGGGGCAAGGCAGATCTGAAGTCTGAAAAATCCAAAAATTTGGGGATTGTCTCAAAAGTTGGGAACAACCAACAACTTCCATACTTCCATGGATGTTGGTTAGATTTCGTACCCTGAAAACATCCGGGTTTCTGTGATGATTTCTGTGATCGACATCAATCCCAATCATCAGAGACACAGCGGGCCTCCACCCCAGCGGCGGCGGTTCTCCATGTTGTCGTTGAACTGGGCCTTGAAGTTGCTGATCAGGGTGTTCAAATCCTGCCACACAGCAATGTCATTCGGTGGTTGGAAAACAAACGATGTTCATATGCTGGGGTTCCTCAAAATATCTCAAAAATGACCCTTCATCCAATTCCAGGACAGTTGGGACGTCAACCCCAGAGCTGGGCTTGTCAGTTCGTTGGTGAAGGTTGTACTCGGCACGTGTTACAAAACATGCGTCCTGGACCTGGTGGCCCTGGTGGCCCCGGCCCTGGTGACCCTGTCCTTCTCATCCTCAGGTTTCACGCTGGTGATGGCCACGCAGGAAGCGGCCTGTGGACCCAGAAATAGGAACATCATTCAGATACAATGGGGGATACCATGAGGATACAATGAGAATCTAATGAGAATCTAATAGAAAGTGTTTGCAAGGCGTGAATAAGATGATATTTACTTCATAATTCCAGGTGTCCCACATGTTCTATCTGTTTTTGGTTGCTATAGACTATAGACTAGAAATAGTGAGGACATTACGGGGCAATGCAATGAGAATCGAATGGGTACAATCTCATCCCCCTAATATTCAACACCACCATTGTGTGAAATATGTCACGAAATATATCACGCAACATCCCCTATACCCTCTGGTAAACGTTTACGTAACTCTGGAAAATCACCATGCATTTTTGATGGGTAAATCCACTATTTCTATGGCCATGTTCAATAGCCTATAGGGCCTATACCATGGTTTCTGGATGTTTCTGGGTGTCCCAAAGCAGCGCTTCGCGCTTCGCGGCAGGCCTTCTGGTGGATCAGTTGACCAAGGCGGGACTTGCCCTACGCGGTGCGCTGCGCAAGCACCATCCCAAGTAGAAAATAAATCGCTCAGTAAACACGGTGCCAAGTGAGCAACAAAGAACTTATCATCTGATAAACATACAAAAAAAACTATGGAAAATCACCATTTTATATAGGTTGATCAACTATTTCTATGGGCCATGTTCAATAGCTATGTTGAATTACCAGAGGGTACTGGCCGTGACCTTGATGATGCAGTAAGGCACGTCCTGGCAGATTCAGAAATTCGGCACAGGCACCAGTTTTCATCGTGGCCTCTCAGGAGGAGAACTTTGGTGCCACGCTACCCACCATGTTTTGGTTCCATCTCCCTTCCATTCCAAAGTCAAAATCCAAAAATAGGTTCCCCGTTTCCATCATTTCCATCTTATGGACATTGTCATCATATTCATCATGATACGCATTGTAATGTTATATTTCGTTAAAAACCCGTGTTTTTTGAAGTCAAAAAAAACATTTTCACAGCCACAACTCATCGCACAAAAACACCACATTCACCTCCACCCCTGGTCCTTCTTGCGGCACAGGGCCGGCAGCCAGCAAACGAGCTCAATGGGGTCCACATCGTGAGCAATGATCACCTTCAAAAGACACCACGGGCCTCTTAACCCATTGGTTTCATGAAAACTAGCCAAGTTTGGATGAGTTGTTGGGAGAAAATCCTGGTCTTGCTGCTGTTCTGAGTCTGAGCAATCATGCCTGCACTTCAAACATGTCATCCTCGCCCTTGCTTGCAGTCTCGTTTGACGTGGGAGGCTTTGAATTTCGATGATCCCAGCCATGCATAGGACAGAGTCTGTCCTGTCTCTCAAGGTCCTCCTGTTCAATGTTTATTTTACAAAAATGCCGGCGTGTCTCAAAAGTGGGCAACCGCACCAGTTTTAACTGGAGTTTTCATCTTTTTCCCCACACGAATTGCCAAAATCCATCGAGTTCAACAGCCCAGGGTCACCAGCTTGGCCAGCTTGTTCTCCACCAGGGTGGTCACATGGTTCAGGCCATACTTCAGCACCTGGGGCACGGGATCAGAATAGGATCCGAGCAGCTGAGAACACACCTAAAGTCAAGGCCCCGCAAAAATTTTTGGACATCACATCGGAATCCTGAACAGAATTGAACAAATACATTTCCGCAACTACCTTGAGTTTTTCATATCGTGCCATGGCCTGTCAGAATGCCCAAATGGCAGCCTGACACCCTTGACCGCCGCACGCCTGAGGTTTCTTGCTCTTCACCTCTTCACCATCCTGCAATCCACTGGACCCACTGGAAGTGGCAAGAATCTCCTACAGGAAAATCATCAGTCAAAAAAAATATGTATACTGTATAGACATATATATATATTATAATACCATATTTTATTATATATATATATACTATTGCATGTCATGACATTTTTCTGCCGAAATATAAACCCCAGCTTTCCAACCTCACCATTCCCCCAGCCATCAGGGGCACCTTCTTGGCCTTCGCCATCTCCATCAACCGGGCCTTTTTCGCCTCCTTGGTCTCTGGTTGGTACTTCTTGCACAGCTTCAGGACGTTGGCGGCCTAACGCCGGGCGTTTTGGAGTGGCACAAATGACCAAAGACGGCATCAATGCGTGGCATGTCACCTGGTTTTTGACATTTGCACACAATCGATATAGCACGGACATGTGCAACCACGCTGAAACTGACAGGATCTAAACCACAAATTGAACTCCAACATCTTTGATTCTCATAAAATCACCATGAAAACTGTTTGAAAATCAACGTTCCAGCTGCACCGGCGACCTGATTCTTGTCCATGGCCATGTTGAACTGGTTGATCGCAGGAGGCACCTGTGAATGGTGCCCACAACCCACGAAGAAACCTCCCAATCTGTCAGTCTCTCCCAGAAAGGGGAAAAAAAACCGGTGTGGGTGCCCAAAAAAAACACCGTTGGACTGCATTTTTTTCTTGTCAGCAAACAATTCCTATCATCACTGAGTTCCAATTTGCAGCAAAGCACTTGCCGCGTCTTGACATTGTGGAAGTATAATTGGATTAATAACTGGATCAAAAATTCATTCCCGTGCCAAACCATCAAATTTGGGACCCCCAACACCCCAACTAAGCCCTTCCAAGGGTTAGCCGCGGCTAGCCTTCAGACGCATCAACATGATTCGTTTCTGTCGCTGAAGGCGGATGTACTTGGGCCATTTCACGAAGCGGGTCAGGTCACGCTTGGGCTGAATGTCACCACCCAAACGATAATTCCTCGGAGCCTTCTCGAACAGAGGATTCCTGGGGCCAGCATGAACACGAAAATAAGAGAATTCAACAAACACCACGGTGGGTGGAAGGGTCAGTGAACAAACCCTTCTACACTTCCCTTTTCTCATGTCGAACCAGATTCAGAGTTTTTTGGTTTGTGCGGATTGACTCGCACAAACCCTTCTTATATCCACAGTTCGGTCTGGTAAACTGGAATCATCGCACCAATCCCAAGTTCCTGTTTTTGTGTAAATCGAACGTGTGTTCTCGGATCAGGTTCACCCAGTCCAAATTTCGATGCCCTTCTCAAGCACTGGTGTGACAACAAGAATAGCAACTGCTCACCTTGTTACAGAAGGTCAATTTATGTTTGATTTTTTGAAACCATTGTCCATGACGTCAATGAAATTTCAGGTTTTGGAATCAAAAATGCCTATTTTACCGACTCATATCCTCAACCACTGCAGTTTGATACATGTTTGATCCATGTGGTCAAGTTTCTTTTTGGCCTTCTTCTTTTTGTCTGCCAATGGTGCGGAGGGAAGTTTTTTTCCACCCTTGGCGGCTTTTCCCATGCCGACTGCTTCAACCGGTGACCGGTTTTCCTGTTTCACTAAGGCGACTAACCTGCAGAGCCAGACAACAGCGGAGTTTCCCATGACAACCCGAAATCGAGCCAAGCAATGGATCCACAAACCGTTGGTCACTTTTACACACCAATCCAAGTTGCGTCTATATGTTGTTTGAAACATGTTCATGTATATCAAGTGATCGGACGGCCAACGCCGGTCAATGAAAGTTTCTCACAACTACCACCCCTAGTCTATCTACCCCAGTGATGTTTCGAAATTATTTTCTATACAAGTCCCGGTGTGAAAATTGAGGGCAAAGTGTTCGTTCACAACCGTGAATCAATGCGACACTTTAAAATAGATTGTGTTCCCGCACAACTGTTCTTTGAGGGCGTTTATTGTCAACAAACAACCGACCTACGCGCTCATGTTTCTGAACGCAACAATTGTTTGAGAACAAGATGGAAGCCACGAACCCAAATGTATTCACGTTCTTGGACTACGAGTCCAAACCTCTGCAATAGGAAAACGATTTTTTTTTTCACGCATCGTGCGCTCATTGTCGCAGTGAAGGCACCTGATGACACAAAAACAGATGATTCCACAACTAATTTACAAAGAGACGCGCAAGATCACGCAAGAACAGATGATTCCACAACTCAAGTGGTTTAAATTCTGCGTGTTTGCTACAGATATGTTTGTCACGTATACTACATATCTAATCCTAAAATCCCAGCACAGATCTTGGCCTTCTGCGGCATTGCCGTCCATTGTGACGTTGTAAAGATTGCGGTGGGCTATCAGCTTACGACCGGGATGGCACCACGGAGATTGCAAAGGAACAAACAGTCACGATGTGTTTGCGGCTTTATTTCCCACTGACAATCCACTGTGTTCGGGGGTAACTATTTCTCACTTGAAGTCCGGGCATGGGGTCATGGAACAATTTTTGTTCAATGTTTGGCGACCACGTCGACAGGTTCGGGTTTGCGATGATCCTGGGGACTGAGCCACCTAATCATGCAGCGCGGCTTCAAAAGCCATACTGTCAAAGCGTGTCGCGTCTTGAGGGCTGCGTTGACTTCTTGAGTTCGCTGCTGCGACATGCCATGCAAGACATCGACTCTTACGATCCGAAAGATCACCAATTCCTAGCTTGACTGAACGATCATCAAATTTTCATAAATTTTCCATGCTCTCAGATTCAACTTCAACTGTCCGGTATCTTCGGTCATTTCACATCTGTGAAACTGCAAGCGGGAGCGGACTTTTCTCGAGCACAAAAGCCTGGACGATATGGTCATGTAATTCACATGCCATCATGGTGATTGTTACACTTCTCATCAAGATTTGTGCTGTGTCATCCATGAGTGCTGCCACAAATTGTACGCACTCCTCCTCAGCACCAGGTAGTGCAAACTCCTGATGCTGCCATTTTTCCTTCAGCCAATCTCCAGCACTCATCGCTGGATTTTCACTTCCAGAAATTCTACTGTGAAAATTTTGTTTCAACGTTCTCGATTTCGCAGTTTTGCTTCAAATCTGCCATAGATTGCACATGCGTAAGGTCTGCTTGGCCTTGCAGTGTCTGCTAACTGGAGGAAAAGATTTGCTGCTCTTTCACGGTATTGGTTTACCAAATTTTCATCCATGCCTCCACTGATTGCAGCAATCGTTGTGAGAATGAAGGATTGGATCGCTGTCGCATCCCGCCAATCTCCACGTTGAACTGCAAGACCATGCTGCTCTTTTACATCTTCCATCAACTGTGTCATGGGGGGAGATCTTTGTTCTCCCTCATCAATCATCTCGTCGTCATCTGAAGTCTCTGACTCTGCTTGTTCCTCATTGTTGTTTTCCAAATTTGTATCTGCACCATGGTTCACTGGTATGTCAGTTGTGTCTGCATGTTCAGCTCTGGCACGTTGTCTGACCAAACGCAAGTATTGCTCTGATCCCATGGCTCCATAAGTCACCAAGTTTGCACGTTCATGCATCGCCAAACTTGTAAACTGGTCAGTTGTAAGGCCAAAGCCAAAACGCAGAAATCCACCGCTCTCAACCAAACCATAATGCAAACCATATGTGTAGTCATGCAACATTGTGTTCATTGCTTTGTTCTATCAAGCGTCCATCATGCATCATGAGTCTGTTGTGGATCTCGGTGATCCTTGCCTCCTGAGTTGCTATGTAACTGTCCTCATCTGCCACCTGATTCCAGCAATGGAAGATATCGTGTTGCACCTGTTTCATTGCTGCTTCTTGTTCATTCAAACGTTTGTTGAACTTCTTCCATACACAGCAAAATGCTGTAGCCAGAATCACTACCAAAACGCACAACACGCAAACTGCAATCCAAAGACCAGCACTGTTGTCACGCTCTACCGCCTTGACATTCTTTGGACAAACTTCCAAAACCTTTGCTTCCGCTGCCAAAGACTCAAGGCTTTACACTCCAAGAATCAAGCTGATCCTTTTGATTGCCTTGCCAAGCTTGCTCAACGCTTTTCGATTTTCATCTTGTTCTGTAGCAGCATTGTACTCCTCCTGTCCAATGGGTTCTGCAGTCACAGGATCAACTGCACCAATGCCACAGAGGAGAAAGTAAAGCCGGGCTTTGCTGAGATTCTTTGTTCCCACATCACTGTAGTTCCAGAAGGTGGGCACTTGGGACACCTGAACTTCACCCAAGCGCGTCAAGTCTTGTAGCCAAACAAGTTTGGCCGAGAGGTGGCGAATACGGCCTACCCCTTGCCTTCCAATCAATTGTCTCGCTGCTGAGTTGTCTGTGAATTGGTGGTGCTCCACCTGAACCTGCAGTAGAAACTCCATGCAATTTTTCACAAAAATCGCATCACATGTCCCAGAGATCATGCTATGAAGCTCAATGAAATCACACGCTGGGACCTGCTGCTTGCAAAAGCAAAACATCCATTCACAAACAAAACTGTGCAGCTTGTGCTCCTTCGACTTGATTTGTTGCCACACCAATCTGCACCTGTGAATCCTTCAAGCAACCAAAAGGCCTCGGTGCCTTTCTTCCACTTACCTGCTCCATGTTCAGGCCAGTCAAGCTTGATCCCTATGTCTCCTGAGCTTTTGAGGTATCCAATCAGCTTGCGCAAACGCTGAACTGAACACAAAGTTGGAGCAGCCATGAAGGAAGAAAGCTCTTTGACGCTGTACATGATGTCCACCCTGTCACGTGACAAGTACAACAAGAGGCCAATGATGCTTCTGTAGTTCTTTGCATCCTGTGGACTCAACAATTTCGAACTGTCATCTTGCTGCACTGCTGCATCACATGGAATTTTCTGCAAACGTGCAACTCCAAACAGTTTCTCGAAGCTTTCCACAACCTTGGAGACTGTGGTTCCTGGCACAATCACAAGCCCATCGCTGACCCTGATCAAACGGCGTTTCAAGAAACTGATTTCTGTTCCTGGCTCACCAATTTCACTGAAGCTGACATTGAACTTCTGCTTCATCAAAGGGAGAAACACCTGAGACCAGTACTGCCGTCGACCTGTGAACAAGAGATCATCCACATGCAGCATGAACATGTTTTCCTGGCAACGTGCAAGACAAGGCTGAACTGCGCTCCACTCAAAGTCAAGCACTGAAGTTGCAAATTGGCGAAAATGCCAATACCATGCCTTTGCTCCCAACCTTTGTGCCGGGAGATTTTTCAACACCACGTACTCAACACCATCCAAAACAACTGCAACAACATGCTCTTGAGGTGCTTGGAGGAAAGCATCCTTTATATCCAACGCTGCAAGAATCATATCGTACTGCTCACCTTGCAAACCAATCATCTCAAGCTGTCTCAAAGTTTGCAAGAAAATGATGGGTATGATATTGCTGCAATGACATCCAGTGGCAGGTGAGTAAACATCGTCACGTTTGGTTGTGGCAAATTCTCTGGACAAAACGACTTCTTCTCATCCAGCGTTTGACGCTGGAAACGCTGGCACTTCCATCTTCCTGGTTTTCAGATTTCACCTCATAGGATTTGAGCCGCCAGTCATACACAAAACGTGTTGTCAAAGAACCTTCAACCATGCCACCAAAGTCACAACGTTTCTGTAAAACACCCATGCTGAGCAAACGTGCAATTTCAACCTGGTCTGCCAGTTTGTCGATCCAAGGATCGGGAGGACCTGGAGGAACATCGATGGGAGCATCTGACCACAGCTGTTCTGGCACTTCTGTGAACTGAAGCATATCTTCATCATGCCATATGCCATCACCTTGAAAACCCATCATCTGCAGAATCAATGCTGGGGTCATGCTCATAGTTGTCCATCGTATGGTATTCCTTTTCACCAATCTTTACAACACGTATCATCTTTTCATGAGACTCACGCAACATCCCAATCCTCAGTTTCTTTTGGGACTCAACCTTGGCCTTCTTTGATTCATGGCTCTCATCTCCACCTTCATCATGTCTTTGGGCATCTGAAGAACCTTGAAACTCAAATTCATGAATTCTTGCAACTCGAAACTGAGTTGATGACTGTTGCTGAGCGCCTGAACTTGGGGTTCCCACTGCAGTTGAGCTTGGAGATGACTGCAATGGTTGTGAAGTCTGAGGATGCGGTAGTTGTTGACCCTCTGACTGCACAGCTCTGACATTGGACCCCCAACAGTCACGTGCGTAGTGCCCTGGCTTGCCACATCGATGGCACACTCCACTTGTGCTATTGCCTTTGCCCTTGTATCCAGTGGAATCAGTGGAGTTCTTCAAGGACTTTCATTTGTTGTTTGAGCCTAGGGGTAAAATCTAGATTCCCAAATTAGTTCGACAAAACAAACTGTTAAAAGTACATCCATTCAAACGTTCTCTGTCACTGTCTTCGAAGACATCGCTCTTTTTCATCTGCTGGACATGTCAGATTCGAAATCAAAACACGCAGGGTCCAATAGTTCTGAACCATTTATCCAGATGGCACAAATCACCCATCTGGGATGTATAGGAATCTGACCAGGAATAGCAATCAAAAGAAGGTTGGAAAAACGCCACAAACGCCAAGTGAATTGTCCTGGAGATTCACTGAAAAGTACTGATCGGCAGAGAAGAAGAG